TGAAGGATCTAAAAATACAAAGATAATGTAACTTTCATATTTTCGAGGAAAAAATATCTGGATTCTCGAATTTTCAACCCTTTATTTAACAGTGCTAGCTTAATAAAATTTAGATGTATATAGTAAATTGATTTATTTATTGACTCAATAAGTATAATATATATATTTGCGCCCGAAACGGAAATAAATAAAACTATTTTCAGTCCAGAAAGGCCCATATTAATAGTTAAAAGAAGTTGTTTAGGCAAGCAAATCGCTTGCGTAATTCAAATCCCTAAAGTATATGCGAAAGGAAAATAAATGATATATTGTTCTTGATAATAATTGTGGATATTATTACCTCATTGGGAAAAAAATATTAAGAAAGTGTAATAATTTACTTATTTTTTTCTTAGAAAAGCGAAAATGTTTAGCATATTGAATTATTAATTCAGTATAGCTTATAAGAGTTATATTTATCTTATTAAACGCCATTTTTTTCAAGTATCACACTCTCTAAAGATGATCATAGTTTCAGATGCGAACTGATGAAATATGCAACAACATAGGAATATGGATTAATCATTTTGGGGGAGGAGGTGGAAGAATCATTCTTTTTGGAAAGAATACTTTTCTAATATGATTTTTTTTATCGTTTCACGATCTAAATAGTGGATATTATACCATCAAAATAATATATGAAATGAATAAGCCAAAGGTATAAAATATCCTTTTGAAATTTTTAACACTTTCTATATCTAAAGAAATTAGTAATATTATTTTAATTGGCAATTTTGTGAATCCTTCAAACCCCATAGCACCTATTTCTATCATAAATTACTGTGTCGACAAACTAAAAATACAACACCTCTAAGAAACTTACAGAAATAAAAATTATTTCAAATTTATAGGTAACCCTTACGGTAAGCTATCTAAATTTTAAAAAGCCTCTAGATAGCTTTAAAGAAAAACTTTACATCCTTTACTAGGTTCATAATTTTTTAATATAAGCAAATTGAAAAACAATATTCAATTAAAATCATTCAAGTTCTCGACCTAAATCTCCTTATATAATAATAAATATTCTACCTACACATCCATTAATTCTAAATAGTTCATTCCCAAAGTTGAGCAAAATTACGGTTACTGAAATACAGTGTAATATTTAACTGAAGTAACTATACTTTTAATTACATCAAGTTATCAGTAAGGTATAGAAATCGAAATAATATGTAAAAAACTCTTGGGCCTGCGCAAAACTTGTAAAGATGGATTTGTTTCTGTTATTATATACATCTTAAATTATAAATTGCATTAATTCTTTTAGATTCGTCTTTTGATTTGATTCTTTTCCTTTCTGGTCATATTAGACATAATATGAACCTGAAAAAAAACACTGTATAAGTAACTCAATTATAGTTTCAAAATTCCCTCAGTTTGTCATATCAAGTATAAGCAGCTGCAATGCATTGCAATCAGGATATCGAAGCTCCTACGCATGAGAATCTTATGTGTTTAGAAGAATTTAGAAGGACCATTTGTCAAATATACTTTGAATTCGTTGGATATGATGAGCTCATGGCTAACTCATCGCTGCAGACTGAAATGGAAGCACTCGTTGAAGCAAATAAAACGTTTTTACAGTTTGAATCTCCGAGATGCATATACCCTTTGTGTTTAAGTGTCAGTTCGACGCGTCTGCAGCACCTTGTACATGATAATTATCCCAATGAATATAAATTATATGTTGACAATAATTACAACCGTCGCTGGGAGAAATTCGCTGTGGAATCTAACTTCGTTGCATTTAATTATGAACCAGTGCTCTTAGAAGCTGAACCTGCGCTGGCCTGTTACCTAAACAGTAGCGATCAACGATTCTATCTTGTTATGGAAAATTTGATAGAAAACGTTGAAATGAATTCGATTCAGTACGCGTTTTACGTTCGACTGAGCGACACAGCTCTTGGAATAAACCTTATGCATCAGCTCAATTCTCCTTTATGCATTGCACTGAATATTCGCGTTGTGTTTCGGAAATTGGTATTTGAAATACAACAAAATATTCGCTCATCAATACATCAGCTTCAAAGTACAATACCAAACCTTTTCTCATTACTCCAAGACACACAATGTAATGGAATGCCACCGCTGGTGGTGATAGCAAAGGAGGTAGCTACGTTACTAAAAAACAATAATGTAACCTTACGTTCTATGAGTCACAATCAATTGACCAGTATTACCAACTCCGTACTAATCTGGATGGCCACACATAAGCCGGAATGGATTCCAATAACCATCGATCACACTGTCACTGAAGCTACCAGAGAAGCAACGGAAGAAGGCCAGTTCTGTATTATTTAGTAGTGGCTTGGCAAATGATTCTATTATTTGCTTTTAGCAACAATTTTTTTTCAAGTTCACACTACACCCACAGTATGTGATAGAAACAAATAGATTTACCTGTTCTATTATCATTATTTTTACTTATATATTATTTTCATTCAAAAAGAAGATTCCTATATCTTATGTTTTTTTGCATTTTTTCATCCTCTATATATCAGCTGGGGTTGTATGTCTAATTTTTATTAGATGCAACATGGCTTTAATCATTATTTTAATTATTGCGACATATATTTACACAAATGCCGCATGCAAATGTAGTTGAATTTGTGCCCTTTTTTTTTTTCACTATTCACTGGTTATAAACCTTGAAAATACATGGAATATTCATACATGAATGTATATCTGAAACTATATCGAATACTATGGTGTTATTTTATTAGGAAAAAAAAACTGAATGTGAAAAATATAATAAAAGAGGTTTTGTTATATTGGATGATAAACAAACATGCAGAAATATAGTCTCCCTTTGTCATATATCCTTAATTCCCCTTGGTTTTATACCATCGATTCAGCTATTACTCCTTTATATATGCTATTACATGTGTTTCACCCTAAAAGATGCACAAGAAAAGCGTATTTTTATTTTTTACTTAAACATAGGGCATTTATAAACTAGATATTAAAAAGGGTATTTAGGCAGAGTGAGTGTGAAAAAAATGTGTACACACAAGTTGGGTTGAGTCTTTGAAAACATCCTCGCCCTAGATCAGCTCATTAAGTCTAGGCGTAAGACCATGTATATTTAAACATTTCCAACCCTTTCTCTATGCGCAGAGATACACCTTATCACCGGCGTATGGGAACTCTTAGAAATTGCAATGCTCCTCTTGCAACTTAGAGTTGGTGCTGATATGTTATCAACATCTCAGGAAACTGTTGGCGTATTTGTCATGGAACAATCTTTGCAACAACTGCTGTAGAAGAAACGTGCACGATGAAGAGGGATGCGCGACAATTACAAGCTCAACTCTTGAACGTTGAGCGTACCGCAACCTTTCTTTACAATTCTGTGACGCTATCGTTCTCAGTGTTTTAGTACAAAGGGGTATAAATTGGTTTCCATATTCTGTTCAGGTGATTACGTGGCGTGATTGCTTTGACAATAATAACTACTAACAGAACCTTTGTAGCGACATAATTCCAGCGCTTTTCCGTTTTCTTTCTGATATAATACAAGACTGTAATAATTCACTGATATCTCAGTACATTGAATATATACATGTTTGTGTGTGTATATAAATGTGCTTTTCTAAACTGTTTTGCAGTGGTATCACAAGAATGCGCAAAATATTAGCAAAGAAATCCCATCTCTATCGAAAAAAATTGAAGCTTATCATGACAATCATTATAAATATATTGCTGACCTTTTTGTAGTTAAATAAGCTTGATACAATGCTATTTACTCAGTGCCTTCAACCGCAAAAGAAATCTAAATTAGTTAATCAATCTCTCTATCCATTCATCTCTCTACGAACATAGGTTATCAAAGCAGTTAGGTGCAAGGTTATGTAAAAAGGTAATTTACAACTGAAAATTAAATACGTACTTATATAACTCTTTTCTCAGTGTTACTTTTTTCACGTGCGAATTGTGCGTTAACATTCGTCGCAACTTTTGTAAATATTGAAAACAACCCTAAAGATATATACCTACATATACTCCTATGTCTGAGGCTCTTCTGACACAGTGGAAAGATCGCGTTCTGGAAGCAGAGACTGAAGTTGGTCTAATTCAAGATGACATCAACACAGTTCTAGAAGAACGGAAAACACTGAAACAATCCTCGCGTAAACATTTGGAAATTATAGAGAAGGAGAAAAAGGATCTTCTCAGGCGGCTTGAATCAGTTGAGGCAGAAGCTAAAGAACTTAGCGCTGTTTGTGAACGGACTCTTAGTGAAAAAGACAAAGTTGAAGTGGTCTACATTAAGACCCTTGATGAATATGAAAATATGCACTACCTGGTACGCGAGATCAAGGACAATGAAGAGCAGCTCAGCTCACGTGAAGATTTGGAAACACGGCTCCAACGAGAGTCTCTTGTATGGGCTGAAGAGGAGCATGCAATGCGCAACAAGCTGAGCAAGATACAATTGCAACTCAAACAGCAACGTAAGCAACAGCAGGCCGAGCAGAGTGAACTTGAGGAACAGCTGGCGGCTTTAGAAAAACGACAGCGGCTGGAGCAGGCTGAGCGCAGTAGTGGGCAAACCGCACCAGCACCAAGTGTGGTAAAAACTTCCATTAATGCAGGCACAGATAAACGGTTTACGACTGACAACAGTTTCTCCTCAGTTCCTACGCATCCAGTACCCCCAGTAGCACGTGCGCAGCCGCTGAAGTCCTGTCTTAAAGGGAAGGAAGCTGCGGTGCCGATATCGGCACCTGCCATAACAAACAGTAAGTTGAACACATACCGTCATAACGCATACCCCGTTATAGCCTCAGCTCCTGTAAGCAGAGCCGCGTCGCAGTCACTAGTGTATCAACCATATAACATCGGAACTGATCTGTCGAGCGCAGCCAGCCATCATCAACAGAAGTCTCTTAATCAAGCTCGAGCGTATTCCTATTGTTCTGGAAAAGACCGTTCTCGTGCGCATGACGTGCTTCAAGAAACAACAAACAATTTAGAATAAATAATGTTTCCTTGGTGTTACACACAGATCCTCTAGAGCCAGAATCCACTTAGATTCATCATAATTTAACATTTATATTTTTTTGTGCTGAAAATATAGAGAAACAAAAAATAACCATAATTGATGTTTATTTTACTCGTCCAACAGAATTGATTAAAAAATTGTTTGGGTGTTTTAAAGACAATAATCATTTACCCATTCTCTTATGAACAATAGTGTTTTTGTATTCAATGTTTTCAAAGGATAAAGAAACCGCAGAAAGCATTTATATGTAAAAGGATGGTTCTAATACGTGTTTACTGCTCGGCTATAGCCTTTCTCAGGAAAGCAACCACACAACAGCGAAAAAAGGTGAATAAACCCTTATTCAACTATTAATCTATATTTGAATGCCCTTATATTGAATATCAAGTAGAAAAATCTCCTAGTTAATAGCCAAAGGCGCTGCCAAAAACCCACCGTAGCGTGAGAATTGACTTGAGCAGAGTATCCTGTGAATGGTGTACTTTATGGGATGGTGTAAGGTTCATTCATTGGAAATCTGCACAATAATCTCCACAGAATATCTACTCCAAAGGATAAAATGCTCCTTGGGACAGGCAAATACAACTGGAAAATCATCCCGTGGGTGACTATTTAACAGTCCAATCGGCTAGGCTAAGTAAAATCACCGTGACCGACTCTTGTCAACTTCCTTGTTGCTTTGAATGTGCGTAAAGTAAATAAATAAGCAAACAATGCGAAATTTATAATCAGGAAACCACAATGGAGCATTACAGTTCCTATATGCATCACATAATTACAGCCTGCTAGAAATGAAACATGATGTATTTTAATCCAGTCCCTAAACATTCACACAATAAACCCTCTCCAAAATATATCTGAAATGGATGAATGTGAAAAAAGAATGTCTACGCATAAAGTAAACGCAACGCTACAACAACTAGCTCCAGTTTGTCATAAAATAAAATTTAATTACCAGAGTAGATAGGCACTTCGGATGGCAAACTAAATCCTATGTTGCGTGATGCGTGGAACGTTATGACTCCCTACGTTGGAGTTTCTCCATGCAAGGTGGTATATCACCCTTCCAACGCGCTTTCCGACTGTGATATGTGTCCGCCTTCACTTCCTTTCTACACATACCCT